AACCTATTAATCATCCATCATCTAAAAAGCAGGCAAGCTGGTCTAAAACACAGTTATGACGACTTACATCTTCTTTACACTTTTCTTAGCTGATTTTCATGACTTTGTGTCTGTAGAAAAACTCTAGATGCCTTTTAGGTAAAAAGATGGTTGCACCTGTTTTGATGTGAGAGTATGTAGGCAAGAAGGAACATAATCAAATACAGGTACAGCCAACAAATCTTAATATTATCACAGCCACAATGTGGGCTAGTAAGTATTTTCAAGGCTGTAGTAAACAATTCATTAAAATATTCCAAATTGATGAAAATTTTTTTGGTTGATTTAAATAAGTTTCAGAGCTATTTTTATCTTTAGAAATACATGATAGTTTTTGAGTATGTCAGTAGAAATTTTCATTGTAAAAAATTTAGAAAATTTTTAAAAAGGAGTTATAATAGATATACAATGTTTCTTCATTTGGGCAAACAATAATTTCTGTAACCGTTTTAGTTTGTTTCTAAATTTTTACTACTATAAATGCCACTGTGATGTATACCCTTGCCCATAAATCATTATGTGCCTTTTATAAATATTTTATTAAGATAAACTCCTATAATCGGTGTTATCAAAGCACAATACTGTCAAATCACCCCCCAAAAATGATACATTAATTTATATTTCCACCAGCAGGTATTATAGTGGCCACATCAAGGCCCACCACCAGGTATTGCCATTAAAAACAAAAAGATCTTTGCCAACTAATAAGCAAAAAAGAGTATTCTCATTGTTTTGAAAGCTATTACATAACACAGTTCCTTGCTATCACTTATCTACTGGATGGCTCAAAATCCAAAAGGATAATGCTATCATTTAAAATAAATTTTTCTTCTAAGCCATTTACCTTTTATTTTTATATCATGTCTTTCTGTAAACAAACTTATTGATAATTCATTTATTAATATTTTATAACTATGGCTATCTCCATCATAAAGACAGAAAGAAAGTATGGACTTACTAAAACAGCTAGTGGAAGAGGAATAAACCCCATCCTCCGTGCCACAGAGTCACTGTAATCAGTATATGCCTAGAGAGAGAGGAAAAAATGATTCCGATTTATGGGATTTAAACAGTATTTAAAAAGTACTGCTGACTCAGTCTCAGCACATGTTCTAAACAGGTGAGGCTATGAGCAAGAAGAGAGTCTGGAACCTATTATGTAATTTAGTAAAATAATGTAGAAATCTAACTGTTCGTAAGAAGTTTTAAATACAAAGTTGCATAACTATTACAAGGCTACAAAAATCATGCACTATTTAATGTGTTAAGTATTATTGTTATATTTGTAACATTTCATGTAGAGAATAGAGATAAGCAGGAAGATAAGTTTATGTAGCTTTTCCTTAACTAACATGCCATGCTGGAATTAAACCATTGTTCAGTTAAATTCCGTCTACGGTTTTGAATAATGCTCACATTTTTCTGTCGGCTGCTAACAAGGTCAAAAGCAAGGCTGGCTCTGTATTCACTGTAGACCTAGAGACAAATAAGAATGAAATATTAAGTAATACAGTGCAAATATATAATGTGTAAAGGTTCAGACTTTGTAGATAAAAGTGCCCTGTGTATGTAATAACCAGGAACAAGGTATTCACTCAAGTGTTTTACTACACATCTAGGAATAGCTTCTCTGTTGGTTTTCCTATAGTAAGGGTGACACAGAGCCTCAATCTCTATGTCCACTCATGAACTGTTACATTTACAGGCTTTTTAAGGTTTCTCTTTTCTAATTCAAAGAGGGAGAAATATTCAATGATTATGGTGCTGAGTGTTTAGAATTTTGGGAAAAGTGGCTATTTTAAGAAGTGTAATATACACAAGAAAATTTAAAATGTTTTAAATTAGATGAACAGTTTAAAAATTATTATTACTGTATATCAAACCATAACAATGCCTTCTTAGAAAAACAAATACTAAGTAAGATATAGAACTGGGTAAGGAAACTAGTAGTCATGAAGGTACTTGTAAATTGTCATTTCCACTAAAAAATCCACTACACATCTGAATCAAGTCTATTAATTTTCAGTTTAGTTGCTGAGAAGATGGTCCTATGAAAAAGGGATTATTCTGCATCGAGGAAGAGAGTAAAGGGTAAAATCACTTTATTAGTGCTTTACAAAAAAGTCCCAAATTATATTTTACTGAAATATATTAAAG